CAGGGAGCCCGATGCGGGACTCGATCCCGGGACTCCAGGATCATGACCTGAGCCGAAGGCAGTCGCTTAACCAACTGAGCCACCCAGGCGCCCAAGGGTGGGAGTTTCTTGAAAGACTAAATGCTCTCTTACATCATGTTCCTGGGCGTTCACCCCAGAGAAATGAAAATTTATGTCCACACCACCTGGACACGAATTACACGCAGGTTTATTTCTGGCGGCTTCACACTGGAAACAACCCCAACGTCTTCCCACAGAAGGACGAGAAGGTGGTATGTCCACACCGTGCACGCTGCTCGGCTTGAAGAGGAACCAATGTCGGCCCCTCCATACTGTCACATTTCCATCGCACTCTTGAAATGACAAGCGCCTGCAGAAGGCAGACGGGCACGGTGGGCAGGGCCGGGTGGGCCGGGAGCGGGGTTGGGAGCAGGGCCGGGAGCAGGGACGGGAGCGGGCAGCTCGGCTCTGCACCTCCATGCAGGGGAGCCAGGACGCCACACAAGTGACACGGTGACAGACTGCAGTGTGGACCAACACCTGCTCCCAGGCTTCGATGTGCACTCCACGTGGGGAAGATGCGAGGAGATGCAGTCACCCCTCTGCACGATCCTTACAGCTTCCTGAGACTCCACAACCGTCTCCACATACAGGTGTCCCTGCTCAGGCCTGCAGAGTTGGGGGGTTCCTGGCACGGGGACTGCAGCAGCCCCTCGAGCGTCTGCAGAGGACCGGTGGGCGCGTGAGGGGCTCCCCAGGCCGGAGACAGACCTTCAGGAGGGAGAGGGGATGGTGCCGTCCCAAGAGCCGGGCTGGAGACCCCGCAGTTCACAGGGGATTCCCCTCTGCACGGGGGAGGAACTCGCTCCACTCGAGCGACATCCTGGACCCACCTCACATGCCATAAAACCGCCGTCTGAACAGAACAATGGCTCCGGGAACCAAGCCGTGCCCTATGGGAACACAGGGCTCCCCTGCGGCCAACAGGGCGGTGTCCTCAGGCCGCCCCGTGAAAGGCCAGCAGCACGCACGTGGGCACAGAGCGTTACCGACAGCGAGGACACAACCCCAGCTGAGGCGGACGCAGACCCGGCACAAGGGCAGAACTGGTAGAGAAACACGTCAAGCGGCCACCTTGTTATGCGCGACCGAAAGTTAAATACACACACGCAGCTGAGAGAAATCCCCCATTGTCTGAGATGGGATGCGCTCAGCAACGACTTGTAGCCCAGAAGACATGGCTCGCGAGAGGAGGGGGTGTGAAAACAGGGCGACAGAAAGTCCCCAAAACGAAACTGAAAACGCTACGACCAAGCACCGTATCCCACGGGACACTGGGGTTCCTGGAAAGGTGGAGGCAGAAAAAATATCGGAAGACATCCTGGCTGAAAACTCCCAGGCTTGATTAAAAAACCCATAAACCCCCAAACCCAAGAGGCCCAAGCAGCCTGAGCAGGCGTGAAGGGGCCGCGCCAGAGCCCACCCCGACTGACAGCCCGAACGCTGCCCCTGAAGATGGCCATGGAATGCAGACAGAACAAAGACAGCCGGCCCCTCAAGCAAAAGGAAATGCGAGTCCGTCCCGGCTGTTTCTGCAATGGCCGCACTCGGAGACAAGCCCCAGGTGCGTCAAGAGGGCGGTCCTGCACCGGCCGCCGAGCAGCCACGCATGGTGGTGGCGCGCAGAACACGTGTGCCGACGCTCTGACGCGCCCTGGCACGATCGCCAGCACCGCCGCGGAGCGCCGTCCCCCCCCCTCCCCCCGCGGAGCGCCATCCGTCCTGGGAGCTGCTCTGAAAGAGGGCAAGAGACGCGGGGACCAAACACCTGGCGCAAACTTTAGCGCCAGGGGCAAGGTTATTAGAAAGCATGGAGGAGAGAGTTTAAAACCGGTTATGGCCGTTAAGGGGCCTCAGGACTGGGAAGCCATGCCGCGCGCCCCCAGTGTGCAGGTGAGGGTCGGTGCCAGCATCACTCCCCATGAGGAAACGCCGTCTCTGGGGCGCACGCAGCAGCTGTTCTCAGGCAACACACCGCGTCTGGTGTGGGTCCCCGTCCCCAAGAGAAGGGGTGCGATGGAAACCCCAGGGCAGCGGGGAGCATCCTCTCAGCATCCTGGGCGCAGGCCCTGGGGTCCAGGCGGTGACCGGACAGTGGCCAGGGTCTGCGCGGACGGTAGACAGGCCGGTGGCCTGTGTCACGGGTGTGGTGACCAGCGCGGCTGGCGTCCCATCCGTCTGTGGCGGAACAAGGCCGCCCGTCGTTTCAGACCCAGTGCTGGACTGACTCGCAGGTGGGGCTGCCCCCTCGGGGAGGACCGGGCGCACTGAGTATCAACACTCAGCACCCAGAGACGGCGTCACGTGCACGTGTGCCCTTGGGCGCTTCACAGAAGCCCTCCCTTCCGTCAACGGGACCCTCGCCTCTGCGGGCAGCAGACTGAGTGACCCCGACCCTCCGACACACCAGGGCTCAATCATCTGCGCCTCCTTCGGGGTCGCTGCTGACTCGGGGCATCAGGGCAGTGCCTCCCTTGGCCAGCAGGGGTCAACAGGCACCCGCACACGGACCCGAAGCCAGGGCCCG